CAGCAAATTTATTGACAGTCACTCTTCCAATTATACGGGAACAGTCTATTATATTAGTGCAACAGCCAGAAAGATCAGTGTGGCAGAACAGCAATACACGAGGCGTAGTAACAAAGAGACAAGTGTGAATGGAAAGGTGTTACAAAGGAAGAAGAAAAGTGCTCACCCGTCTCTGAAGGGTGTGGGGAAAACTCCACAAGAAAGACACCTCCAACCAGAGATCCTACCTCAGTGGCAATCAGCCCTTAAATGAGGTCCAAGAAGGGTGCAGCCAGGATCCAACCCTTCTGGTCACACAGCTGAACTGCCTTCACCTGTGCTGCCAGGGCTGACCAGGTCCTTTCCCCAGGTGCTCAATCAGTGGTTCAGACCACGACTCAACAGTTGCCATACAATCAAAAAGCTGCCATTATGTTTTTTTAAGCAGAAGATCCAACGTAAATCGAGATATAGCCTATCCTTTCATGCTACTTCAAACTTGCAGTGACACAGAACATCTATATGATACATTTGAGCTCCCTACCTTCATACTACTTCATATTCTGGCACAATAAAAAGCCTAAGCCATATCATCTACTAAACTAGGCATCACTCAGCCTAGACAAACACTAGAGATTAAGGAGTAGATACATATTCTATTTTTTTTTTTCCTTTCAGTTTTTGCAGATGTTGAAGATAATGGAATAATTCAGGTTGTAAAGGATGTCAGAGGTCCCTCGTTCTGCTCAGTTCATCCACCAGGACAGATTGCTGCAGGTTTACCCAGCCAGCCCTGAAGGCCTGCAGTGATGGCAGCCACACACTCTTCTCCCAGGGCCCTGTTCCACTGGCCAACAGGAGCCTAACCAGCCGTGTTTCTCTAGCTTGACCTTTTGGACAGTTCTGAAAACACACTGAACATCTGCCATTCTCAGGTCATCGCTGATTACCCCTGTTCCCCACAACTGAAGATAAAGAGCAGTCTCACAAGAACATCACATAGTTATCACAGTGCTCCTGAAAGCAGCCTGTCTGTTCCCATGGATGGTAGGAGTCAAGTTCACACGTTTATTTAAACTTGTGCAACAAAAGCCAGTTCAAATGCCACTCAAGTAAGCAACACTTAACAAATCCAATCATAGATAGAAGGTTAAGTACTGTTTAGGGCAGCAAGACTTATCCATCACCATCAGAGACTTCAGGGCAGCCACTTTCTATTCAAGGTGCTCCTTGAAAACAAGTTAAAATTTCTCACGATAGTAAGTTACTTTCATTCAGTACATTACTATCCGAATAGGATTGTTTCCTTTTTAAATCGCTGGAAGGAGACTTGCATTTTGGCTAAGATTTTGGTCTGAGCTTTTCTGTCTGGTTAGACACTTCAAAGAACTGCACACTCATCACGGAACATTTTTTCATTGCTTTGTCAGGAGAGATTTTTTGTTATTTCTGTTTTTTTAGTAGTTCTATGCTTTCAAAAGTATATCACATTACCTGATAGACATGGTACTTTTTCTTTTTTTTTTTTTTAAAGCAGTAATAAGAACTAAGAACCAGCAACTCATCCAGCTGATAAGTAGTCAGGTTCATGAATCGTGCACTAGAAAGAAGTCAAGCAGGAAGACTGAAGGGAAACGATTATTGTTTTCTACTCTGAACTCACCAGACAGTGCGTAGTGTATTGCGTGGTGGGTCTCCCAGTGCAGGAAAAACACTGCAGTGCCTGTTTGTGAGAGGAAGCTGAGGGAACTGGGCTTGTTGAGACCAGAGATGAAATAGCTTTAGGGAGGTCTAGCAGCAACCTATGAGAGGATTATCAGGATGGGACAAGCCAGTTCATAATACTGCATGGCAGGAAGCTAAACAAATAGCTTCTGACAGATGCAGGGGTAGGTGTTTTTTCTCCTACAAGGACAGTTTGGCAGTTGAACAGGCCGTGAGGTGCTGGGTGCCTCCATCACTGCAGTCTTTCAAGGGCTGATTGGATCACACCCTGGTGCAGTGGCTGAAGATGGACTGCTTAGAACCAAAGACCTCTTGAGATCCCTTATGACCGCTACTTCCTAATCTCATGACCTTCTGAAACAGGATTGATTCATACCACAAAAAGGAAGAACACTTATCCTGGTGGCTAGATAGCTATGCAATCATTCGTGATTCAGGTTCTATTTGCTCAAGCCCACCCTCAAGAAATAACTGGAAGTTTTCAAATTCTATTTGATATGCAAGGCCAAAGGATTAGTCTCCAAAAGACCGTAACAGAACATATTTCCCTACACAGTGAGGTATGCAAGGAAACAGGGCAGTAGCACTTTGTTTGGGATGGATCATGTGTTTACACACAAAAAGAGGAAAAAGGCAATATTAAGGAGAGAACGATCATATTGAGATCTTCCCTTAAACATTCAGGCAGCATCCCCTTGATCACAACTGCCTTTTGGTTCTCTTCACTATCCAAACACAGCACGCCCAGCAACACAGCTAAAACAGCATGGGATGAGCACCTGTGCGGGCAGCTAAGATTACAGACAACGCACTGACTTGTGCTGGAAAGGAAAAAAAAAGAAATCAGAAGTGATCAAAACTCACGAAGATGAATTTCGTTCTTTAAAGGTTTTATTTATTTCTTTTTTTTTTTACAAAAACTGTGACTTTTATGAGCACTGCATGAAATTAAAAATTAATGAAATTAAAACAAAGAATGAAGTATTATGAGGGCCGTTCCAAAAGTAGTGCCTCCTATTTTATTACATTGGCCTGCAATGTGAGAGGTGCGTGTTGGAGGTACAGCAGTAGAGGTTGAACCTTCCCACCAATATCCCATTACATGTTGTTGCTGTGCAACAGATGGCAGCAAAGGGACAGCCTGACAAAATGGTGTCTGACATGGAACTACATATGAAGCAAAGGTGAGTCACTGAAATCCTTCATGAAAAAAATTGAACCCACTAATAGTCGTCACAACTTGCTGACCATTTATAGGGATCAAACAGCGGATGTGAGCACAGTGAGGCAGTGGGTGCTGTTTCAGCAGTGGTGACAGTGGCCACCTCTGCCGGTGCAGATTTGTGTGAATGCATCATGCAGGCTCTTGCTGACCGCTGGTGAAAATGCACAGCTTCTGGTGATGGCTATATTGAAAAACAGCCTTTCGTAGCTGAAAATTTGCTCTATCAAGGACTGTTATTGTGCTCTTTGTATCTCAGAGCAAATGACGCCTCTTCATCTCATTTCATAAGAGATTCTACCTTCTAGGAAGAGACTATCAACTTGATGTGCAGACTGTTTAAAACAAAAATTACACAAGTTTCAGCACTTCCAGTAACACATATCGCTCTGCCAAGGACCCTCCAGCATTACCCATGGTTTCAAAGTTCTCCTGGTGTGCTTTACTCAAAGACACACTTCCCCTCTGTTTCCTGCAAAGAAGATCTGTAAAGATGGCAAAATCAATTCTGCAATAAGCTCAGAGATCAGCTGCACAGATAGTAAACGCCAATTTCCAAACTAAGTAAAGATTTCCACTGGGTTTCAGTTACTCTTATTTCTTCCAATCAAGCTTTCTCCTTTACCACTCATTTTGTTGTGTAAAATGTGCGTTAAAGCAACTTCAGGCGCCTGTTGCACTATCTTCGTTCACATCTCTCTCCACGGAATTCATACACCCACTCTCCATAGTAAAGGAACTGCACCATACTTATCATGGCTGTCTTCTTGTACGTTTCACCTCATCTCCTACTGCACTGAAGGACAAACACATCTAACCCAAGTCTTGACATCATCTTCAACTGCTGTGTATTTATGTACATATACACATTTACATAAATACATGCACATATACACACACCCCTCAACAACCCGTAACAAGCCACATAAAGATAACCTTTCAGAAGCAACAAACGCCTCTCTTAGAGTTTCTCAGGGCACAATTCTGTAGCTTCAACAAGTTCCTTCCCATATCCTATTAAGCAAGAATTAACTTCAGAAAACACTGCTGTGTAATGGCCTCAGTTCAGACCCACATCACGCTATCATGTAGCTCCTTGCAGACTCTCCTCCTTTCAGTACTTTACTACACACTTTATCTTTTCTATTTGTGTGTCCCCTTATTCTTTTTCTCTCTTTAAATTAACAACGCATACATATTTTAACCTGCATTCTAATGCTCCTGAACTACATCTTTTTCCTCCCTTCTTTTAACCTCAAACACTCCCAAGTTTTTGTAACGAGCTCTCAGAACAAACACGGAACGTTTGCTTTCAGCAACCTGATTACAAACAACAAAAAGGAGACAAGCTACTTTCCTTTTATTTCATGCTTCTGACAGCTCGGGCACCACGCACAGATCACCTTCCTTTCCGCCGTAAGCCAGAAGAGAGCTGTGCAGATGGCCCTACAGAGCTGTGCGGGCCCCGCACCAGCGCCCCCGGGCACAGCACCGCCGCGGCACCACACCGTGCCTTCGGGTACCAGAGGTACCAACCCGTTCTTCCTACGCAATCCCAGAAGGAAAGGAGAGCTAACGCGTCACGGCGCGTCTTTCAGGCCGCCGCAGTCACCGTACCTAAACGAACTTAAAATGCGAGCTTCAAAACACGATCAAATGGCTCCGCTCTGACAGACCGCGAGGCAAAGCGCCGAAACGAACCCAGCGAGGAGAGAACCCGGCGGCGCTTTGTGCGCTCCCGCGCACCCGAGCGGCCGTCGCCTTTTCGGACAACACCCGCAGCCGAGGACGAACCGCAGCCGGCTCGGGCCGGTACCCCCGCCGCAGCCCCCCGAGCCGTCGCAGCGCCGCTTCCTTTGTGTCGGTGACGGAACGGCCCCGCCGCCTGCGGGGAACCCCCAGCCGAGGCCCGGAGCGGACGGAGGAGAGGCGGAGCGGGGCCGAGGAGAGGCGATGCGGTACCGGCGGCCCGAGCCGCGGGACGCGCCCCCGCCCCCCACCCCACGCAGCCGCCGCCGCCGCCGCCCCTCCCTCCCTTCCGTCCGTCCTTCCCCGCCCCCCCCCCACCCCTCACCTCATTCGGTCTCTCCAGTGGTGCCAACCGCCTCATGCAGGGAAATGGCGAGCTCGGGAGCTTCCCCCCGGCGCCGCGCTGCGGCCGGGCCCTCGGTGCGCAGCGAGCCCCCCCCCGGGCGCGGTGCCCGCGGCGCGGCGGAGGAAGGGAGGCGGGGGAGGGGTCAGACCCGCCTCACGGCCAGCCCGGCTCCGGCGCAGCCCCTCGCCATTTTTGTTTCCCGCGGAGGAGAAGCTGGTGCATTGTGGGAGCACAAAGAGCCGCGGCCCCGCCCCGGCGGGCCCCGCCTGCGCCGACAGGCGGCTCCGCGGCCGGGGGCGGGGGGAGCGGCGCCGCGGCGGAAGGACACAGGTGGAACGGAACCTTCGCCGTCGGTGAACAAAGAGGGACTACTTTGGGCTCGCGTTCCGAGTGGTATCGCTGCCCACGGCCGGGCCTCGTTGCGGCAGCGCCGGGGTTTGCTCTGCGCCGCCGGCGGCTGCCTATTGTTCCCCAGCACCCGAGGGCCGTGCGGCCGCGGGTTCCTTCGCCGCGGCGTTCGGGCGCGGGGGAAACGGTCCCGGCGGGAGCCGAGCGCAGCCCGGCAGCAGGCCTGGGCGCTTGCGGCCTCGGTCGGGCACCGCGGCGCGCTGCCATTTTGGAAGCGGAGCCCGACTGCAACTCTCTTTCCTACAGCAGGGACGGTCGGGCGCAACGGGCCGCGAGCAGCTCGCGTTTCGCGGGCTGGGTCGCTAGGGCAGCCTTAGTTGAGGCGTTCGGCCAGCCCCGGGTGAGCTGCTGTGAGCCAGTGCTCGTGCTCCGCATGCCTTCTGGCCCACGAGCGTTCTGAATCCAAGTTCCAAGTGAGCAGCTCTCTCAGAGCTGCACGAGTCAGAGGGCCCGTTTCTCCAAGCGGCAGTTGGGCACCACTGGTGCCAGAGATGGAGATCGGTAGAAAATAAATGGCACTCGATGTGAGAAGTGCATCTTTGCGCCTGTGTGCAAAGATGTAGTTTGTAATCACAGACGTGTCAGACAGTGCTCAGCAGCTTCCCAGGCAGCAACAGCTGTGATTGCGCATGGCCAACCCGCAGAATATCAGGGGGCTGAGCAGCCTCTCATCCTGCTGCAGCTCTGAAATGACTCCAGTAAAAACTTATCAAAATCCCTCTTTTCTAATTTACACTGTTTCGGCATCAGCATCACCGCCACACACACAAGTTCCTGACCACATGTGCACATGCCAGCTCTATCCTTTCTCTGTACAATAGTTCCCAAAACCAACACACTCAACTCCAGCATGACTGCAGAGCTGCATGGCCTCGTTCCACCATAAAGCAGCTCTTGCTGCAAAGCCAGAAGTTACTGCTGATATATCGTTATCAGAAAGCGGCACTGAAAGAAACGAAGAATCCCTGTATTACAGAAGAATAACTGGGGTCTAATTAGTGTGCTATTACAGCAATTATGCTAGCAAACCAGTGTTGCTCCCAAAACCTGTCACCATTCACACTCTCATTGGGCACAGCAGAATACATCAATATTTTCCCACAACCTAGATTCCACATAATAATTTTCTTCTATTATATTCAAGGAGTAACAAGTGATCTTATAGCCAAACCCTAAGTAAAAACATTTAAAACTCTCCATCTTTGCTTTCAGAATTAGAATTCCAAGCCATACACCTCACACATACTCACCACCACCTCCTGCTGCTCAGAACATCCTTTTCTAATCGGCTCGGTGGGTCACAGAACCTGCATTGGAGAAGTGCCTTTCTAGAGCAAGGACTGTGCGGCTGCCACCAGCCTGCTCCATCAGGGGTGCACATCAACACAGGTGGCATAGTTCAGCTGCCAATAAACCAGGAGAGGTTTGTTCTGAAGGGTCACTGTCATTGTTCCCTTGCCCAGATGGTTACAGGACTGGAAATCTCACCAGAAATGAGCAAATGACCCTTTACAAATGGATTTCAAGTGAAAATGCTCAAATCAGCAAGCCTAAATCCGCAGCAGCAGAAGGATCCTTCTTATCACTGGTATACATGGGGCAAAGAAGCAAGCAGCAATAGTAAGCAAACAGTTACACAATCCCCATCACTATACTATGAGACATATACAGTTATCCCAACTTGGAGGAAGTGTCTTCATCTGCTTTCTATCCAGCACTAGCAATGAAGCAAGCAGCTACTTCTTCTGTTAACATATGGCAAGACTGTATGTCATGACTTCAGAAAGAACTCTCCTGCCCTCCTCTCTTTTTCATCTTCTCATAATATTTCCAAAGTACTTGAACATACAATCTCCACTGTTGCATTTTCAATTTGAGACATAATATGCTTGTAGTTTTTACCACAGAGCAGGCAAAGCCGAATTAAATTACTTCCCTCTCATATCAGTAAAGGCTTCCTTGTGTAGAAATTTCAGGGGGGGGAACAACAGATTTTGAGAACCTATTAGATGCTGTTTAATAGCCATGTTCAGCTTTATACCATCTCATTTTGCAAACAGCTCCCTTGCAGGAAGGAGCTCAAAAATAATGACCTGTCACTGACTTTACGGTTGTTTATTTTTATCCACATATTCTAAGGCAAGCTTTCGCCATAAAGTCAAGCAAAAGCAAGGGCTTTCTATGCTTGATGCACAGCAGAAAAAAAAAATATATTGTATTCAATACAAAATGTGTAAAGCTTTGAAGAGTCAAAAACAGTGGCATTTTTCTAAGCAAATGGCTCTTCTTTTGAATGTTAGCTTGTTTTTTCAAAACTGGTTTATACTTGTTTATATACTTGCTTATATACTTTCCTTGCCACAGTGGCCACATAAATATCAAGTAAACAAAAGAAAACGCACAGAAAGGCATAAGCAGCTGTACAGTATTATTTTCCATTACCTAACTGTATCACACAGCATAACACCGACATGATACCCTTGAACAAGACAGTACTGTAAAGTTTACCCTTCTACAGACGGTTGTCATGACCACAATTCAATAAGGAGGGAAAATTAGATCCCGGGCCACTTACTCTGCATTGTTAAAGCATGGGAACAGTGAGAAAGCTCACCTGGGTTCTTCCAATCTTAAATCAAGATAAATATGGCACGTCTGTTCTTACATAAGCTTTATAATTAGTCAGACAGTTCACCTATGTGAGTTGGTTATGGCTTCACTCAGAAAAGAATCTTCATTTTACAATCCTAAAGAATAGGCAAGTGATTTTTTTTTAAATTTTTTTAAGATAAAAGTACTTTATATTGTCTTACAATCAAGTAGCAATTGTTACCATAAAACTACAGCAATTATTCAATCTTTACACGAAAGATACAAAAATAGCGCTGAAAATATTTAAAAATAGACATCTGTAAATATTTTTCTAGATGGACAACAATGTGAATAATTGTTTTCATCTTCATAATAACAGCAATACCAAGGAAAATAAATTGATGTTACTGGATCTGGTATATAGGCTGTTCTGAAAGTAATGCCTCCTGTTTGTTTCTATGGAAACCATAACAGATGCAGAGCGCACAGTAACACTATTTGAGCAAATTCTCAGCTACAGAATGCTATTTCTCAGCATAGTCACCACCACTAGATACGCATCTTTGCAAGCAAACAAGAGCCTGCATGCCATGCTTGTACAAATCTGCACCAGAGGTAGCCCACTGTCACCATTGCTGAAATGCACCACCCACCGCCTCAATGTGCTCATATCCACTGTTAGGTTTCCATAAACATTCAGCAAATTCAGTTAATGTCAATGGGTGCCATGCTTTCTGCGTGGAGGAATTCAGTGACAAACCTTTGCTTCATACACATCCCATGTCACATGCCATTCTGCCAGGCTGCCCCTCTGCTGCCATCTGTCACACAGCAACAAACTGTAATGGAATACTGATGAGAAGCTGTGTATAATCAATGAATATTAAGATGTTATAATTATGAAATAAACAAGAGAGTTTGACAGAGCAGACTATGATAACAAAAAGAGAATAAGTAGAAGGCTTACCCTTATCCTAGGCTCACTCACAAAACTCCAGCAGAGCCAATCTCCAGGACAGATCCTTCCCCACTGGTAGCCAGCTCTTAAACAGGTCTAGGAGGGGTGCAGCCAGGCTCCACCCCTTGCGACAGCACAGGTGAATTGCCTTCAGCTGTGCTCCTCTGGCTGACTCATGGCTCGCCTCCGGTGATCAATCAGAGGTTCAGGCCGTGACTCAGCAGTTTCCATACAAGCTTCAAGCTCTACTGCTGTACCACCAACATCCATGTCTGATATTGTCTGCCAACACAGTAAAATAGGAAGCATTACTTTCAGAGCAGCTGTTGCAGATGAATTGGTCTTCACACATAAATGTTTTTTTCTAGTTCAAGCATTTTACCATTTCCATCTTTGCAGGAAGGAACAGGAATTCCTGAAAAAAATCCGTTTACTCCCTCACCTTCTCATTCTTGCTTGACAAATCTTAAACTGAATATATTTATTTAAATATATATTCACTATCACACTCATCGTTTAGCTAACTTAGACCACTGAGTCTCATAAAAGCAACCTATTTTCTTCCTAAGTAATTCTTTATTTATTACTTTTTTTATTATTATTATTTATTTTTTTTTTTTAGCAATCTACTGCCTGCATCTTTTGAAGATAGAATACCCATAGAGTCCGGTCCTATTTTAGATTGTAAGTCTGTAAAGCACTTATACATCATACACAGGGAACAGCAATTGCTCTGTGGGATAGTATATATTTGTATAGCTTGTATCACAATCTTTATTAGCCTTTGAACTAAGCCCATTTAATCTTGAACTGGAACTCATTTACTTTCTGCAAACTAACATTTAGCAACATAAATCTGTTCTGAAAGTCTTTCCCTAACACAATCAGATACAGTACTGAGGACTCAAAAAACACAAACTGGGACACACCTATAGATGTTAGCTCTTCATGTAATAAAGAACACCTCAGATGCCTTATAAAAATAAAATAAAACAAGTGACATCTTAAAAGACCTGAATTCTTAATTTGCTTAAAGTTTTATTTCAGATGCATAATCTTTCTGAAATTACTTGTAAACATTACATCAAGACTCTGTATGCTTGCTTGGTCTTTGGTAAGTTGCTACGTAGTTCACGATTCAAAGCACCTAGACATTGTTAAATGTTCCCATAATTGTAATATAAGAACCTAACTGTTCCTAATTTGCAGTTCATAGCCTACCACTACTGAAACCTCGCTGTTGGACGTGGCTGAACAAGTCCCTCAGTATATATACACACAGTAGAAGACACAAAGCTTTCAGTAGGTAGAGATATTTCAGAGCTGAAGTAGGGGGGTTGACATATAACATTCCTGTGTTATTTACAGCATATTTGAGCATGCCAGCTGAAGAGAGGCTTTCATTGTGAGGTGCATGTGAGTATGCCTCTGACATCAACCTTGGATAAACTATAACTCCTTATCCTGAAGACAGTGAGTGAAAGGAAAAAAAAGTACCTGTATGTGTGCATCTGCACTGAGGATGCTTAAGGGCAAGTCACTGTGTTCTTATTGGTAATAGTGCCTTTTCTGTATTGAAGACTTATGAGCATATGTAGCATTGTCTTAACTTCTGAAAAAAGCTGTGAGAACTGTGTCTTCCTACTGTACTAGCTGGTGGGAATTCTGTGGAGAGATGCAAGAGTAGTCCCAAGTAATCTTTCTTCCTGAGGCCAGTGCATAAAAATGAGCTTATTACTCAGAGCTGGAATTTAAGAGAGGTTTAATTCTCTCTGCAGTGTCGCTTTGTTGCTGTAGTCATATAATCAGCTTCTTTCAGAAAACCAACAGCTGCCAAGACTAGAAATTCTGGTAAATTGCCTGGATCTGAAAGAGGTTCCGGTTCCCAAAGTCTCTGAGAATTCAGTCATACAACGGTGTGATGCATTCCATTCCTCTGCTTGCTCTCTAAGCACAGCTCTGGAAGCAGCTACTGAAGCTTTAGTGACTTGAGTAAAAAAAAAATCCATAGTCAGCATTTCAGAGTGTAAGCCTAAGCAAAACCCTTAATATTCTCTTCAGCTATGTTCTGCATAGTTGCAAAACTAATTAGTCTCAAATATTTTATTTCACAGTGATTATAATATAACTTCGAGAACTGCGGCATCAGACAGTTTAATGGCAGGGTTTTGTTTGCTTCTGCATATACTGTAAGAACGTCTGCTAGAGCAGAATTCCCAGTTGTTGCGTGGTTAAATTTTGTAGCAGTACAGCCAGACCTACCTCTCAACTCTAAACTGAATTAGAAAAAAAAAGTTTAACATCCCCTCAGGACAAAGTTACATGGCAGAATATTGCTGCTACGCATGCAATGAAAAATCTGTTCTGGACATCAGTCTGGCCGGAGGGAGAATTAGTACAGCATTCCTTCTGCACTCCCACCACCTGGAATGCAGTATGGGCCTTCTCACAATCTTTCAGCAGACCTGCCAAGCCCCACTCAGATGGAAAGTCCCTCACTTTTTTTTTTTAATAGCAGCTCTGTGTCTGATGAAGACAAAATGCTTTTGAACGTCGCAGAATGACAGAATCCTTGTAACACTCCGAGCTGCTCGCACTCCTGTAAACTCAGCTGCAGGCGCTGAAGATAGAGCAGTAACCCTTTCTGTTGCTGCTGCCAGTGCAAGAGGGCTGAGTGGGACAGAAGCTGGTGTTCCCAGGCTAACACATTGGTCCAGTCATGAATTCCATACATCATTTCTCCACTGCTTATAGAATAGCGGCACTGTTATATTTGTTAACTTTGATATGTTTAAGTAAAATGTGCACCCTAAGTATCACTGTTTTGGCTAGTGTAAACGTAATGCATTTTCTTGCTTATACTTCAGTCTTTCCTCGTTCATGCCATGCTATCTCAGCCTGAAAGCCCTGATTATGTTCAAATCAGTACTGCTTATTTCTATTCAGCTAGAAAGACCAGAATCAAATATAAGGTCAAAATTAATTCTCATTACATCTGACACGCCTTTTTTATTTTTCAACAACCTTCACACAGGCATTGGTATCCCTATTTATATAGTCCTGGCTCCATCTGGGGCTGCCAAGACAGGACATTTTTGTTTGTTTATTTGTTCCTCCCCCCCCCCCTTAATATTGCTGTAATTTTAGTGCTAGGTGATCTTGAGATGAGTTAAAAAAATTAGCTGAAGATTAGTATAAGATCAAAGCAACAGCATGTTTGTGTACAAGGGGCTACAAAAACGTACCATAAACCAGATAGCGCCTAGCAGGGCTCCTCTGGTGCTACAGAAAATCTTCATAGGCAGTATAAATCAGCCCCCCAACCCTGGTGATTTTCCTGCCTATTATACACTAAGCTTACTCCCTGGGGGAAGTGCTGGGCCAAAGGAGGAGTCTGGCTTTTCTTTGCAGTGGGAGCTGAGGATACAGTTTCATGTCCCAGCCAAACGCATCCCACAGCTGCTGCCATCTAAGGTTGCACTCTCTCCTGCTGAGGAGGAGCTGCCTTGTCAGCTCTGCTGCCAGTGCCACGCACTTGCAGCCACACCACTGGCTGGATCAGATAAGTGCTCCAGATAAGAAATACTACTTTTATGCACTTCCGTATCTAGAACACCTACGTATGCATAAAAATGTACTTGTTTTCAGCCATATCATCTTGCAGTAATTTTGTTGCTTTAAAATGGATTGAGGGGTGCTACCTTTATTATGAAGCTGTCAATATGTAGAGGTGAGAGGACATAACCAAGGCAACACAAAAGGTTACAAAAATATTAATTTTAGAAAATGGAAATGAAAAGAGGAAAGGCTTATTTCTTCTTCTGTTCCAGTTACAGAGTGGAGCATTCAACAAGAACAAGCCAAGAAAGAAATACAAATTGACTTCCAGCTTTCTTCTGTGGATTGCCATCCCTCCTTCAGGTAACTAAATGTATGTTCCATGGTCACAGGCAGCTTTTGAGGTGAGAACTGCAATATTTCTCACTATGGGACAGGCAGCCTGCTTCCTGAGTCAGGAAAGCAGAAGTTTGCCAAGCAGGACTGCCAAGTAAATAAGACGACCCTGGGAATTCATTAACACCAAGAACGCTCAGCGTTGAATTGAAGACCATGGACCTTCCCAATGCAGGCAGGACTGGTGCTTGCAGCAGGGTGCTGATGGCTCTCTGTTGCAACAAATCCAAGTCCAACCTCCTGCCCATGAGGACAGCAAAGAGATTATCCAGGCCCAGCATAAAAAGATGCAAGGACAACTTTAGGATGAGAAGAGTCATATTCAAAAGGCCTGCCTGCAAACAAATACCCCTTAAAAGCTGATGCAAATTAATTGTATGAAGACAATGCACAAAGGTAAAGCACAGTAAGTATGGGTGAGGATTATCTAATTCAGAATTCATTTTGTGAGAGTTTAATTTTTGTTCATGTTACAACAGACTACTGAAAGTTTGCCTCTCCCAGAACCTTCACCAAATTATCTCAAATTTCTCAGTTAAGAACAATTCTAGAGTCATACTTGCCAAGAACAGTAGGAAATTCAGGCAAGAATTGGTAAGAAATTGTATTCACATGTTAGGTGACTACTGATAGCAGAACTGATTCTTTCTCTCTTCTGGTGAGTTCAGCAAACAAGCTGACAGTCAGGTAGCAATGGCCTGAAAGGACTTCTTAATTTACTGCAGATTCTGTGATTTAAGATGCCTGTGACAATGCTATGATACTAGTCCTGATTTAATGCTGTATCAGATTACTAATATGATTTAAGTACCAGCTGATAGCCTGTGGTAAAAAGGGCATCCTTACTTGCTAGACCTGTAAACTTAGGTCAGAATCTGCATTTTTTAGTATAAATTAGACAAGCAATGATCATGTAATTTTCTTCTGTTTAGAATCCACCTTAAATCATACATAGTGGCTGGAAGAAGATATGAAGGAAAAAAAGGAGACTCCATTTTTTTTTTAAATTAAAAATTAAAATGATTAGTTACTATTAATTACTGACATTTAGGAAACAAGAAGTGTGGTTGGAGATCAACTTTGTCCATAAGAATTACTAAAAGCCTATAACTTAAGTTATCTAAATGAGTTCAGTTTTGAACAAAATTGTGCAGAAAGGCTTTTACAAAGACAACTGTAGGATAGGAACAGGACTGTAGAATAGGAACAAGAAGATGAAATAAAACACGGGTGAAATGTAGTCAGCAAAATATCAACACACAGTAAGTCTGTGTATATAGGGACACTCACAAAATAAGTTAGAAACTGCAAACCTCACATAAGGTTAACCCAAGCTATACAAAATAGTTACTGACAAAATAGAAAGTAAGCAATTCTAGTCCTCTGAAATGCTTTCAGAGCAACTATGCTGTCATGGAGAATAACTGCATTGACCCAACCACCAACCAACCTTATCAGAAA